GAGAGAGAGAGAGAGAGAGAGAGAGAGAGAGAGAGAGAGAGAGAAGAGAGACCACTTGGTACTAAAAACTCAGTTCTGTAGCTGCCCTTTATGTTCCTAATGATGGGAAGGAGCCAGGAAGATGCTGGGAATTCAAAGGACATTTCATGGTGTATTTCTGGTTTAACACTTATGGAGACCCTCAAAAAAAGAAAGAAAGAAAAAAAAGCTGTTGACACTGTAAGAATAGTTCTTGTAATGCATTATCTCTTGCCCATCTTCAGTATTCCCCTCTTAGGATTAGTGTGCTCCAGACCAGGCCCGGCTCCTTAATATCGTCCCTTCAAATCATGGAGATATTTAGCCTCCATCATCCTAAAGGTGCCGGTATAGCTTTCTCTTGTAGTTGTATGTGAATGTTATCATCTTAAGAGACTTGATAGTTATATTTCAGTGGTAGCTCACAATTTCAAAAGGTAAAAAAATAAAACTTTAAAAATATATCCAAAGTTCCAAAATGTTTATTGTCTTTTTTGTTTTTGACATGGTTTAGCTATCTTGCAAAGTCTAAGTACCCTAAGTATGTTATTTCTTTCAGCATAGATAAAGCTTCAGTTCACGTACATTCACTTCACTTATTTGTGCTAGAGTAACTCCAAGATAATAGTGTTACATTCTATCTCTCAAATCTTTCAGGGCACAGCTGTAAAAAATAAAAACATTTTCTTATGCATCCAGAATAATGTGGTGACTTCTATCAAGTATTTAGTATCATTTAATTCCTTATTAAGATTAACACAATCACTCCGGTTTTTCACTTGCATCTTATTTGTTCAAACTAGGATCCAATCCTGGACGGCATTTTCTCTGGTAATTATGTTCCTTCAAACTCACTTAATCTAAAGCAATCCTCCAGCCACCTGTTGCCCTGTAAAATGTACCACCTTCAGATTTGCCCAGCCTCCTTTCAGAGACTTCCGTTTACCCTGCCACCCTTTGTATATCTTCCTTTGGAGTAAATCTAAAGTCAGGATTAAGATCAAAATTGAAATTCTTTGCAAGCATGAGTCACAAGCAATATGTGCTTTCTGCTGTCTGCATGAGAAGGCATACATGCCTTGCCTGCCTGACCATCCGTGATGTCAATATTAATCATTCGATTAAGGTGAGGATAGTCCCAGTGACAAGAGTGTTGTTTGCAATATCATTGTTACCTCATATGAAAATTAGTTTTCTGTTGTCTTTTTAAATGCCATTAATAACTCTTGCCTGAATCAGTAACTTTGCAGACCTATCATGTCTCTACGTCATCTTTCTGCATTAACTGACTTTTAGTTAACAAGAAAATGCCTTACAGCAGATCTCAAGCAGGCATTTCCTCCACTGAGGCTCCTTCCTCTGATGACTCCAGCTTGTGTCAAGTTGACACACAAAACCACCCAACACATATTCTAATGATTCTCATGAATTGAATGTTTCAAAAAATTACAATCTTTATTCTTTTTGTGGTCAATTTGTTTTATGCTAAGCTTATTAAAATGTGAGCCAATAATAAATAGTTCTTTGTCTTTGGCTCCTTCATCCATTAATGCAACTCTGTTGTTTTTAAGCATGCCTTTGCTCTTTTGTACAGTAGGATGCATAGGCCTATCTTGTAATTCCTTTGTCCCAAATGTCAATCAGTCACTTTGATAACAAGCTTTAGTTCCTTTATTGGCTCTTTTTCTTAGAAGTCGTGTTAGACATTGAAATCTCAACATTTAGAATGTCTGTTAGTATTGGAATCACACAGTTCATAGATCTTTTCAGTGGTCTAATTAGTTTTTGATTTTTATGTTAAAAGTTTGAATGATGAAAATTCAGATAGTAAGGCATTTTGAAAACTAATGGAATAGATGACTATTTGAAAAGTACTAAGACATTTGATTATGTCCCCACCACCTAGAAAGGTAAGTATGGTAGGTGATACTTAATGTTCAATTTATCCACTTTACAATATATACATATTTCAGAATATCATGTTGTGACACTATAAGTATGTACAGTTTTTATTTCTCCATTAAAATTAATCAGATAAAATAAATCAAATTAAAATTTTAAATTTTGACTTTATTATGTTTTTAACTAACTACTTGATTTTGTAGTATCTCTTCTTTTAACTGAAAATCTTGACCACCATAACAAATACTGTTTTATCCTAGTATATAAGCAAAGTAATTTCAAATGACATTAGTACTGATAAGACCAAATGAACTTTAAATTTTCTTTTGATCATTTTTGTAGTATAGGTTGATTTCAATGGAAGAATGAGTCACCTTAATGTTAATTTCAATTACTTTTCCTTGAAATATGTCTTGCTTGTCTTGTCTTTATCATAGGTTGACCACTTTGGATTTTCTGACTCAAGAACTTTTAAACAGCGGTACCTCAAAGCTGATAAACATTGGAAAAGAGATGGTGGATCAATACTTTTCTACACTGGTAATGAAGGGGACATTGTCTGGTTTTGCAATAATACGGTATGTACACATGAGTGAGATTCTTCTCCTGAAATAGTATCTTTCATAGTGATAAATGGGAGAAAATGTTCAGCAGTGTAGATGACCAAGAATGACCGTTTTTAACTGTAATGTTCTTTAGAAGTAAAAAGAGTGAGTGAGATGGTTCAGCTGGCAAAGGCTCATGACCTGACTTTATCCCTGAGACCCGCATGATGGAAGGAGAAAACCAACTCCTGTAGGTTCCTCTTTGAAGTCCTCAGGTACCCTCGCCAAATAAGTAAATAAGTGTAATAAAAAATAAAATAAAATGAACTCAATAGTGATAGAAAGATGGCAAAGTTCACCAGTGAAGGAAAAATGTCAGTGAGACAGGGCCATTGGCTAGGAATTCAGAGCCAGCCTGCACTACCATATAGTTCAAGGCCAGACTGAGCTACATGATGCCCTGTCTCCACACAGACAGACAGACAAGTAGACAAAACCACTTTTTTGGGAAAATTTAATTATAAGGCCAGCAGGCGTAGGAACATTATTGTGTATAGTTGGTTTGACTATGGCCTATAGAAGGTAAATGTAAGGGTAGGAATTTTTGTATGTTTATTAAAAATACTGTATTTTTAAAGTGAAGAACTGTATTGTATATATAGTAGATGTTCAATAAATATTTATCTATTAGTAAGTAAGACTGAAACAAAACCAGTGCAAATAAAAAAAATTATAAAAGTTTGACTGTCAAGTTGGAAGGGTAGAGGTAAAGGAACTGCGTTTTCATTTAGTTTCTTGTTCTACTGGTTTTTAATTTGTAAGAATTAAAATAGTATAATCTATTAGCTTGCTTCACTAACTATATTTTCTATCACTTTTTAACAATATATCTATTAACAAAACTTAACTTGGAAGGAATCTAGAAGAAAGAAAGTCTCCTTTCCATTATGCCGGTGCTGTGACTAGAAAGTGTCAGATTTCTACCAAGAAGCCAGTCTGTGAACTCCTGTCAACAGTGCCAGCTCTGGTGTCAGAGTCTGGCGTGGCACCACACTCAGGCCATCTTGGTAAATGTTTACTGAACTGAGTTGACAGCAAAGCATGAATATCATTATGCCGTTCCTGCATTAGTCATCTGTGATTCTTGTCTTTAGGCTGTCAAGAATGAATCCCCAGGACATGGGAGTGCACAACTCTACATAGCACTCGGGAGGTTTGGGTAGAGGACTATTAATTTGAGTCTATCCTGGTCTGGCTTCTATAGTGACACACAGGCTGGAAAGCCAAACAACCAGAAGAAAAAAAGATAAAAAACTAACCTACATATACTGAAAATAAAATAGCTCCTGAGAAATGATGTCATGGGAACCAGGTGTCCAGATTCCTGGGGCTATTTTGTGTAAATGGTACTGCCTTGTCCCACTACCTTTTGTTTTGATCTTCCTACGTTTGAGGCAGGGTCTCTCTAAGTAGCCTTGACTGTCCTAGAACATGCTATATAGACCATGCTGACCTTGAACCCAGAGATCTACCTGCCTCTACCTCTGCCTTCTGAGAGTTAGGATTAAAGGTTTGTACCACACACATTCCTCGTTTCTTTAACTCCTCTTCTGTGCCAAACCTACAGGCAACTTTTCCTGGCCAGTTCCTGTATGCTAATACAAGCAGAGAGATGTTCAGTCTTCAGACCCCAGTGCTCCTCAGGCTTTGCAGCCCCGCTGAACGCTTGCTGAGTGTCCTTGTTCTCAGGTGGAAAGGAAGAGACATGTAGGAGAGGAACAGTCCTAGCTAAGAATCAGAAGCAGATCCTAGAAGGGCAGATCCTAGGCCTCCCCATCCTCGGCATCTTCCTACAAATTCACGTATTTCAATTTCACATTCACTTCTGAACATGAGTGTTCTGAGAAGCAGTGCAGACTAAGCGGATTGATGAGGGTTCAGTTCTGAGCGCCAGTTTGCTCTTTCACTTGAGCAAGCTTTATCTCCAGCGTCCGCTCTCTCCTTTGTTCAGTGGTTATAGTAAGAATACCTAACTCCTAGAGTTGTGAAGACCAAATAATAAAGAAGACTGAGGAATTTGCTGGTACAGATTATTGATACATGGCATAGGGAGACCTCTCTTGAAAAGATAAAATTACCCTTGAAATGGATGTAAGCAAATAATCGCTAATTGCATCATTAGTTAAGCTGCTTCTTGTTAGAGCTTGAGGTCAGCTCCACAAGAGGTCTGTTCTTATTATTATGACACTTGCAGTCTGGTGTAAGGTGTGTGTGTGTGTGTGTGTGTGTGTGTGTG